CTAGTTCATCACTGGTACTATTTACAATCACAAAGTCACTTGCAGAAGATGGTTCATCAATGGTACTGCTTATAATCACAAAGTTGATTACATAAGTTCGTTCATCACTGGTACTATTTACAATCACAAAGTCACTTGCAGAAGATGGTTAATCAATGGTACTGCTTATAATTACAACGTTACTTGCAGAAGTTCGTTCATAACTGGTACTGTTTACAATCACAAAGTTACTTGCATAAGTTCCTCCATCAAAGACACCGCTTACAATCACAAAGTTACTTGCAGAAGTTCGTCCATCAAAGACACTGCTTACAATCACAAAGTTACTTGCAGAAGTTCGTTCATCACTGCCACTATTTACAACTACAAAATAACTTGCATAAGTTCGTTCATCCTTGGCACTATTATAGAATTTAAATAAACTAGTTTCTTTCAAAAAAATCTCTCATTATCACTCGTGTTTCCATATTCATTCATCTTAAAAAAGATCGTTTATGAACTACAATAATGGAGGCCTTACGCTTATCATCAACAACGTACACACGCTAAGTTGTAATTTTACCATAACGAGTCAAAGGTGTTAACGCTTTAGGCCGTGATTCATCAAAAGTTAATATAATTTTTAAGTGATAAGAATTTTGTATGTCAAAATGGTTTGAATGAGTTATCGTTTAATTCCCACAGGTTGTAATAATTTTGATAATTAGAGCACTCTATTTGATTCAATTCTTGAGACCCATGTTTTTTCTTGTATATTTTCTAGATACAAAAACTTGTATGCTAACATAGCTACTCGCGTTGGACAGGACACAGATAACCCATCGTGTAGCTTCGTGTTTTAACAACAAACAAACAAAAACCGTTTAAAATAACGTACTTGGTACATACTTCAAATTTTGTTCTACAAACATGGAGAAAATTGTATTATGATTTTTTTACGTCATTTATTCATATTAAACTCTTTTTTTTTCTAACTAGATGAAGAGTATGTATTAGTATTATAGTATATGTGATAACAGCGTCACTCCAAATTCATTCGCTGTTCCTTTAATATACTCCTAACGTTTACTCCTAACTTTGGATGTTTATTGGGTCATTGGGAACTGAATTTATGCATAATACATAATCGTTTCAGTTAATAACAATAGTAATGCCTGGTAATGCTGTATTGTCTATATAGTGATAATAGTGTTTTGCCAGTGTGTGTACTGCCCTTCATCCCATACGCTCTATTTAGAACTTTGTAGACGCTACTAATGTCAAGAGTAGCTTTGCGTGTTTATCTCTACCTTAATGTCCTTGGAATGACAGTTTACAAACTGAAGACGACCTGAAGATTTTCTATTTCCCTCTTGACCGGCAGTCTAGCTGGTGCATTAGACCATAATTTAGGCTTGGTATTAAGTCTCTTAATAACTATAATTGTCGCAGCACAGTTGTACTAATGACTTGAAAGTTGAGCTTGATGATACCGTCGAAGTCACGTGATTCAAAGAACATGGAAATGTACCGTTCTGTGGAGTCATTTAACTGAATTATCTTGGTTGTTTGCATAACAAACTCTGGATCGTAGCTTCACACCCCAGTAATGGATTCTTTTTATATGGTCCACTTAAGAGTGTTAGTTTCATAAGTCATTATTAAACATGTGAAATATTAGCATAAACTTCATGATCTGCGTTTAGATAAGGGAAAATGGCACCCTTCCTAGTATAAATACAACTGAAATAATGGATAAAAATATTTCATTACAAAACTTTTTTTTTTCATTTGACTACATTGCTTACAGCTCCCAATAGAAGAAAGTTTTGTTTCCGGAAAATTATTTTCCATTTATTGGCAATTAAATTTCCCAAGACATTTATAATATTGAAAAGCTAGAAGTATATCACATAAATCAAAACAAATGCTGTGAGACAATCAACTTAAGTATAATACAGCTTCTGCTGAATTAAAGAAACTAGACCTAAAAGGTTTAAGATAAGGCACAGATAGGCTTCTTAAAGTAAAAGTTTACAGGAAATTGCAACGTTCTGGTTATATATTTTTACATATATACGAGTGTGCTTATCGATAATAATGGTGTGGTTCCGTTGAAGATAAGTTTTTAAAATATTTCCAACTACATTAATACCTTTAGAGCAGACTTAAATAGCAAAGGCTTCGCTAGCAAATAAAAAAAGTTAACAGTTTTCAAATTTACATTTTCATTATATTAGAACGTGGTTTCTAATTGGTAAGTAACAATCAAAAGGCATTATACACAAAATCTTAGCGCTTTCTACAGGTGGACTTGTCTTCATGAGAAGCAAAGGCAGAAACGTGAAATCCTTGTTAATGATGTGACACTCTTGCTATTAACGTGACATCCTTGTTAGTAACATGAAGTTGGTTATTAACATGACATTCTTGTTCGTAACGTAACGTTGGTTATTAACGTGACATCCTTGTTAGGTAACGTGACGTTGGTTATTAACGTGACATTCTTCTTTCTTGGAGCGAATAATTAAATCTATTTGGCAGTTTCCACAAGAAAGACTCGAATTCCAGTCATGCTGAACGTATTTTAGTATTACATTTCACCCAGTTATTATATTATACATTAAGATTGATAGGCAGTTACAACTTATTTAAATTCAGGCTGATTACTCAGAACTTGTAGTAGGTAAAATGATAACTCTTGGACTACTCTTTTACCAACGAATAGTGGGATTGACCTTCACATTATAACGCCCCCACGGCTGAAAGGGCGAGCATGTTTAGGATTCGACCCCACGACCTTCAGATAGTGAGTCAAGCGCCCTAACTACCTGGCCCGTAGATTAGAAGCAAGTGATGGTCAACTCATTTCATTTACTTGTTGACTACCAATATGGAGCCATTCAGCATGAAAATCAGTGGTAGAACTACAGTAAATTTGTTTCTTATCAAAACAAATAATTGTATTATTGTTTAGTACAGAACGTGAAACATTTTCAAGAAAATGATATATGGTTATTGTTTTTATACTTTCTACTGGAACACTCTCATATCGACACAAAAACTACCAACATCCAGGAAAAATACAACCGAAAACGTAATAATACCATTAGTGTCATGACAGTATCACCCACGAACAATAACCGAATGGGAAAATATTCAATAAGGTTGTATGATCATTACATATGAAACAAAAGTTACCAATATAATTCAAGGAAAGAGTTATAATAATGACATATGAGATAAATATGTTAAGCCATATTACCAGATGATTCAAGGAAAACATTTTGTAGTAATATCGTGATATATTTGTCTGTAAAACCTCTCCCTTCCACTGTAAAAAACAAACAAACGAAAACTCCCAATAAAGTCGTATGAAGTTATTCATGTTATTCACAGGAGAAATGATAGTAGATCGTGCAATAATTTTATCCTTTCGGAGAAACCCGAGCAGGCCCGTATAACACTGGGCTGTTAAAAGTTATATTAATAACTGTACATAAGATACTCTTGTCAGTTCTTTTAGAATATAGTATGAACACTCCGTTTTGCACTGAAACTGACAAGAGTATCTTATGTACAATTATTAATATAACTTTCAACAGCTTTTAGGATATAGTATGAACACTCCGTTTGACACTGGAACTGACAAGAGTATCTTATGTACAGTTATTAATATAACTTTTAACAGCTTTTGGAATAAACTATGAACACTCCGTTTTACACTGTAACTGACAAGAGTATCTTATGTACAGTTATTAATATAACTTTTAACAGTTTTTAGAATATTTCATGGCATTTACTTCAAGGGCTCCAACTTCCATATTGAAGAATATTGGCGGCATTTTGACATTTCTTCACTTTATTATCATTCCCTATATTTACTGGTTTTGTTATTAAACTGGTGTACCGAATATTTTCATACGTTTTCGAATATTTATTTTATATATTTTGCCTTAAACCAGTTTCTTTATTGAACCTTTGTACGATATCCTCATTTTCAGATGATATATATTATTATAAAATATGAGGCAACTTATTTCATTCAGAAAAACGACTTGCTGATTTGATAATAAATGGCTTTTTCCTTAATGAAAATTAATGCATAAATTACTATTTCATGAAAGATATTCTAGCTCAGTTTTGAATTATTTAAATTGTATACACTATGTATTGTATCATAGTATAAACATTCGTTAAGTCACATTTAACCCAAATACTTTATGTGTATTGTGTGATCGATATCTTTATTTTTCAGGTTTTTATTTAGAAAATAATTAACTCCATAAAAGTATTTGTTGATATGTTTTGCTGAACAGTTTCGTGTATTTCATTTATTGCGAATTTTCTTACCAAATGTGAAATATTCGTCGAACTCTTTTTATGTTATCCCGTAATAATGAGATTAGCAACTTAAACAGGAAACAAAATCCAGAAATTTGTTAATCAGGTTGACAAGTTCTGTTTACACTCACTCTTGCTGTCAAATACCAGTGGGTTACGTAACGTTGTGTGTTATATACATTCTGTTCTTTGTATATCGTTCTCCGTTATACCCTTGGTAAGAATCGATCATTACATTTTGAACTTAAAAAAGGTTAATTTGAAATATTCTTAAAAGACAAATATCCTTTAATTACTTCCTGTTTGTTTTCTGTTTAAAATTTAAAACATGCATTAATACGTTCACTTTTCAAACCCATTCACACATGGTGTAAGATGTGAAAGGTAATATTCTTGCTGCTTCAGTCGTGTGGATTTTATTTTTAACCTCACTAGGTTTTGTTCGACTTAACGACAAATTACAAATTTATATTAATTATCCTTTCAAAATATCGTTAAAATAAATACTTTATTTAAAAAAAAACTTCGAAATACTAAACTTTACAACTAATACAAATGAGCTTCGCAGTTAAGAGTAAAACATAAGGGTTTATATAACGGTTGTAATTACAGTTTCTCTTCGAATATTTTCTATATATTTATATATATATATATTTACGTATTTACTTTTTTTTCAGATATCTTTGGCATTTTCTGGATCATCCCAAAAATGAAGCTCAGTACGTGCAACAGATTAGATAGCGCTCTTGGACTGTGTCTTTTTTTGTTGTTACTTGCAGACTGTGCTCGGTAAGTTAACCCAACTAGTTAGTCCTTTCTCAAACCCTGGTAAACAAAACCTACGTAAGGCAATATAAATCTATCCTATATTACGGAATCGAACACAATTAAAATAAACTTAATACTTAAAGAGCTTAAGTCAAATCATACTGAATACAGCGTTCTGCGACGAAAGCTGAGAGAGCTGGAAACATATATATACATATATGTAACCCCTAGTGGTATCTAAAAGATGACTTAATAAACTTAATCTTTAAAGAGCTTAAGTCAAATCATACTGAATACAACGTTCTGCGACGAAAGCTGAGAGAGCTGGAAACCTATATATACATATATGTAACCCCTAGTGATATCTAAAAGATGACTTAATAAACTTAATACTTAAAGAGCTTAAGTCAAATCATACTGAATACAGCGTTCTGCGACGAAAGCTGAGAGAGCTGGAAACCTATATATACATATATGTAACCCCTAGTGATATTAACCCCTCAAAAATTAATTGTAAGAGTTATTTTGTTTTGAATTACCAGAAACAACAGGTTAATAGACTGCGATGTAATTGTGAAAATTTGTTTTTGTTGATATTCTCTTAATTTAAAACATACTATAAACTAATCATCATGGCGTCTATTTTTTATCTTACCGATGGAGATAGTAAACGTATTCTTGAGTAATTTGTTCCGGCGAAAATCTTCCTTTATTTTTGTAACTGGAATTGCATATAAGATTCTTGTTGTGTTTACCGTGCAAACAAAGACTCACAGCTTCAACTAAATGCTGCTTTTTTACTTATATTTCTTTTCTGTCCAGTTTACTAAGAGGTACTCGTAAAGCTAGTTATTTGAGGAAAGCTTGAACTCCAATTTGCTCCAGCTGAGCCATGAATCTATATGGAACTACTTTGGAATGTTTCATGCTGGGATTCACTGGACTTGAGCCTACACAGCTGGGAGTCGATCAATGACGTGGATTTAAAATACTGCATCTATCTACATTTTCTTAAGTCTTTCCTATCATTCTCTGCAGGCAATATTGTCTTTGATTTGACCTCAATGGCCTTTAAGATAGGATCTTTGATATACTTGCCTGAGCTAGGATAATCAGGATATATACGGACAACATCAATCTGAGAGTTTCTTAAACAGAGAAGGCTGTAGTGTTTCGATCTTTTAGTTAGCCATTTTATCCTCCTTATGTAATGTGTTTTCTGAGAATTCTAACCAGCTAGATAAAAGTAAGTTTAATAATCTTCGATGTCGTGATAGGCATCAAACAAGGATTTCCGGTGCTTCTCTACTTGATCCTATACAAACAAAAAAATCACCAAATACCTCATTTATTTAATAGGTCATAAAAGTTAATAAACATCATTCACAGAAAAATCCACGAAACGCACTTTAATATGTTTTAAACAAAATTCTAAAATATAAAGCTGCGATCAACACAGGTAAAAATATTATATAGTAATTGAAATAATTATGGAAACACACAAACGATACACACATAGGAGTAACAAACAATGGAAATACACATACACGATAAACATGCAGGAGTAACAAACAATGGAAACACACACACGATACACATGCAGGAGTAACAAACAAGGAGACCTGGCACCGCCCAGTGGTTAGGAAGCTCGAATAACAATCTGCTGATCGCAGGATCGAAACCCGTCACTGAACCTGGTTGACCTTTCATCCGCGGAGGCGCTACAATGTTACGGTCAATCCCACTATTAATCGGAAAAGAGTAGCCCAAGAGTTGGTGGTGGGTGGCGATGACTAGCTGCTATCCCACTAGTCTATCCCTTACAAGTTAAAGATGGTTAACACAGATAGTTGTAGAGTAGCTTTGTGCAAAATTCAACAAAGACAAAACAAAACACAAGCAACTAGGGATGACAACTAGAGGGTGAATTTATTAATGGTACAAAACATTATCACAGACAATAGCAAAGAAAGCGTATAAACTGTACGATGTCCTAGTATTCTGCATGTGAGCTCTTGGATTTACACAGAGTATTTCATGATCTCATAAATTTTATCATTGTAGATTATAGAGTATTATTCCAAATGATCTGTGTTACTTCCACAATTTAGTAATGTTGATTGGTCATCTTTTGATCTTATCACTTTTTACATAAGTCTATACAACCTCAAAGATGTTTATATGGGGACTTTGCGCAAGCTAAGCTATAGATACGAGTGTTACATGGGCTTTTTTACCGTTTCACTACTTTTATTGTATGGTTGGGGTTATTATCTTGCTGGAAGATGAATATCCTTCGTGTTTCTGAGAGAATGGCATGATGGATTAGAATCAGCATGTACTTGTCAACAGTCGGAGTATCATTAACTTTGGTTAGATTATTACCTTCACCGTTGTTTCAGATGTAGCCCCAAACTTGTACTGATCCTCCACTGTAGGTGTCGTACATTGAGTTCGATATCGTCTTCTCTCCACCATCGAACGAATAGCACACGTCTCCAGCTTTACTTGTTTTACTGTTTGTGGGCCCATGCTCATTCCAACGTTTCGGTTAGGTTGTGTCTTCTCAGCAGCTACACATACAGTTTGTGTTGACGTGTACCGCATTTTTGTCAGGGTAACATTCGCACTTGTATTTATCATAGCAAGATAGTTGGCAAGATCTGTACTCGACCGTTGTCTATTCAAAATAAGAAAAACTATTCCCCGAGATATTTAACATCGCTTTTGGTGAGTTTGAAAGTTTCACCTCGATCATTTTTATTATTAACAGTGTCAATTTCACGTTTCTTCAGGGTCGTGTCGCAGTTTTTTCCCATGCTTGCCATGCAGTATTTTAGTCCTGAAAGCCACGAATGGACTCATACTACTACTAATGGGCATAGTATTACTGCCTGTAATTTTATAAGCTTCATACTGGTGTGCAACTTTCTGTTTGATTTTAGAATGTATGTTAATTGAATTTGATGATATACCCTACTTATCATTTTCTGTATTTTGTTCTTTACAGATTATAATCTTATAAGCTAGATAGGCAATATTTTTCATGACATTCTCTTTAAATGTGCATATCAAGAACAAAAAAACATTGACTTACAATACAAATACACACGAAAGCCATCTGACTTCTATGCGCTAAATATCCAAAATAGCCTATTCGATGTTCAACAATAAAATTAGTATTATGATTTAGAGAGTTTAGATATTGTAAAAAAAGTCACAATTGCTCCCTAGATTCAAATACGTTGCAATGTCATATAGACAACGTCTATAGTATAGTTGGTTGATTCTATTTGTACACAACGTCTACAATATAGTTGTTTGATACCATATGTACACAACGTCTATAGTATAGTTGTTTGATACCATTTGTACATAACGTCTATAGTATAGTTGTTTGATATCATATCGTTATGTACAAATGGTATCAAATAACTATACTATAGACGTTATGTACATATGGTATCAAACAACTATACTATAGACCTTGTGTACAAATGGTATCAAATAACTATACTATAGACGTTGTGTATAAATGGTATCAAACAACTATACTATAGACGTTGTGTACATATGGTATCAAACAACTATACTATAGACGTTGTGTACATATGGTATCAAATAACTATACTATAAACGTTGTGTATAAATGGTATCAAACAACTATACTATAGACGTTATGTACAAATGGTATCAAACAAGTATACTGTAGACGTTGTGTACATATGGTATCAAATAACTATACTATAGACGTTGTGTATCAAACAACTATACTATAGATACAAATGGTATCGTTGTGCAAACAACTATACTATAGATTCTTTCAAAAACAATACGTCTATTTCCTTTTAGTGTAATGATATATATTGTACTATTATCTTTCTTGATTAAAAACAACTTGATAAACAATAGTCAATTATTCAACACTTGTTTTTCAATATGTCGGTAGTTGGATACAATAACTGAATTTATTGGTGTTTTATAATTGTAATTATATAATTCACAAAACTGAAAAGGTCGTTCGTTGCAAATAAATTTAATGTTTTACTATACCAAAGAGTACATAAGTTCTACCACTAGGTGGTTGTATCGTGTTGATAGTTTACACTGCTTAATTGACATCCAACCAAACAGAAAGTGGCACAGCAGTATGAAGCTTATAAAATTACATTGGTATACTATAAACGTTGTGTACAAATGGTGTAACTTTGTGACACAGAGTATCACCTGTTATGTCATCATGATAAGAATGGATGAAACAAGATAAGACAAAAGTACATAATAACAAAATTCCTACAAAGCCAACAGTAACACATATTGATATTTACTATTTTGAATTATTATATGTTTCAAAGAATATACATTACATTTAATGATTTTACAGTAAAGAAAATTGATTTTTATAGTGAAGATCAAGCTTTAATGTTTGATGAAGACACTTGTCTGGTCTGCTTTATCGTTGAATCATTTTCCTTGTACAAAACAACAGCTACAACAAAACCACTGATGTATGGTGTAATACAATTAATGAGAATAGCTTTATGGATTTTTGTTAGGCCGTACATAATACCACCTTTCGAGCCCGCTGGCCTGATATCATGATAAACCCTTTCTGCTATAATATTCTTGTTCTTTAACTTAAACAAATACCTTTGTAATTTTGTCCCTCCTGTGGGAATGGGGTCCATATCCAGTTTATTAAATTTATTAGTGTAATGAACGATCGTTTGGACTTTATTGATGTACTCAAGTTTATTTAGTACCTTTACCTTTTTTCCTTTATCAGTTTTTCTGATAACTATGTCCTTGTTTTTATCAAGACGTTTAATAGCTTCATATTCTTCGTTTGTATTGTTTTCCATCCCCCAAGTAATATATATTTAAAGTTGATAAAACTGTACTTCTTAGATGTGTTTAACAATACAAACTTCTTTATAAGGCGAAATTGCAGTAATTCCTTTCAAGTCTCTCCAGAACAACTCGAAGACGGACAACTAAGTATCAAAATGTAAAATGCATTAGGTCATGCATCAGCGCACGTTTTTCTATATTTTATTCAATTCATATTATGATAATTGACTATTGTTTATTATTTTTTTAATTCAGAGAGATAATGGTACAATATTTACTTTTACACTAAAAGAAAGTTGATCGTTTTTAAAAGAAAAAAATATTCCGATTATAAGATAAAAATTCCATCTCACACTTTCCTTAATTTTCATCTAGTGAAAAATCCAACTACCGACATATTGAAAAACAAGTGTTGGATAACATCATCGGACCCGGACGCTACGACAGCCGGATCCGACCCCATGGAATCAACAACACAGGTCAGGAAAAAACCCTAAAGATTTATATTCTTATCTTACACAACAACAGGCAGAATCCTATACTTTAAACGCTATCTTTAAGGAAGGAAATCGATCTTATATTAACTTTTGTTGAATATAGTAACACGTAATATCCGATAGGATAGTTCAAGCTACATGTGTGTCTTATCATTATAGGATTTTATGCGACATTGGTTAACTTTATGCTGATAATTCACTTCGACTCCTTGAAGATATTATCTGCCCATTGATGTGTGTCGGAGAAAGACACATATGTGTGTTTGTATGTGTGTGTGTACTCTGTTTATGTAAACAATGAACACAATAATAACTAAAACAGTATGTCAGATTATGCACCTAACAACAAAATTGAGACTACAAGACCTTTTATTGTGTTTCCTGATATATTTATTAAATTAAAATTGAGTTAATTGTTGATTATGGGTGTGGAACTTAACAATGTGGTGTAAGTACAGAAGAACAAACTGTTAATACTCCCTACAGAAGCAGATAATGCCAGTTGTAGAACAATTAAAATCAGTATTTGTTCAACAATTTTTAAATAATGCTCAATATCTGTGTGATAAAAATCTCTATTGGCACGGAATGTCGTTGTTTAACTGATTCCTAAAAAAGTCTATTTATACTGAACATGTTTCGGAAAATAAATATAACTTGTTATAAAAACATTTCTGGTACTGCCACATTAGTACGATGTAACAGTTGACTGACGTTACTGATCGAACTTCAACAGAGACATAAAATTACATGAAACATCTCTATGTAGAAATAAAAAACGAGTCCTTGTAAGTGGACTGCGTGCCCTACTCAGAAGTTAGGATATTTAATGGATCAAAAGTAAAGATAAGTCATAAGCTTTAACTTGGTTTCACTATATGCCCACTTGGAATCATTGCTTTTATGGGAAAGAACTAATAACATTGTACTTAGTAATTCTAATCCTCAACTCAAATTCTATATAATTTCTATCTTTATTGCTCCAACCAAGATAGAACTGTGGTTGCTGTGACAACAGTTTACGACTTGTGATTAACATGACAATGACTAGACTTATACGTGTTACAGTAAGATAACATAACTATTGAAACAGAAAACTTGTGGAACGCTTAGAGGAAATATAAGAGTTTATGTAAACCAAGAGACACCAAAAGTGGGAAATTATTAGTAACAAATCTAAAGATCTAAATTTTTAAGTATCGACATTTTCAGTTTTATTTGCTCTTTATTTTTCTTCTAAACTTTACGTTTTAAAATTGTTATGTCATACGTAAAGCAGGCTAGTAAAGGCAGCTCATTAGCTTTATTCCAAAATTTCCAAACAGTGTACAAACATGTGGAATTTACTCACGAATCTTACATGAAACATTGAGCTACGCATACAACTTACTAACCAGAATATCAGTAGAGCATAAACCCCCTATACACTTGTGAGAAGGAGCTAATCAAGCCGTCAAAAACCTAACCAAAACTTTGCTAACCTTGGAAAATAAATCTGCCGTTCACGTAGAACTGGTGGAGGAGTTAGTTCTGTGATCACTTCATTACACTTTTAAATATCGGAATATTTAAACCATAAATGTTTTATAGAACTACGAGAGGTTGTATTTTATTAAAGGGAAGCGCAACTGGAAGTCCACAAATTCTATCCTTATCAAGTTTTATAGCTTTTTTGTTAATGTGACATATATATATTTTTAATTCTATGTAAAAGTTTGAAACTGTTTAAATATTTACTATAAGGCTTAATTTGCATATTTTGTAGAAATATTAAATGTTATGAACCTCATTAATTAAAAGAACGTGATTCATTTTCTTTCCAGCTTCCAAGCTCAGTTTTTAATCCTCTTGGCGTTCATAAATGAAAAGATGTTTGAAGATTTAAATATATAATTCTCAACATATTTCGGCCGAGAATGCTTCAATGAGACTTATTCCCTTTTAATATTTTTCTGAGTTTTTCAAAATTGTTAAGTCACTTAAAAAAAAAAGGCCAGTAAAGTCAATTCATTAATTTTATGCAAAACATCCTGGCAAATCTTACACTGAGTAGACAATACTTTTGTACTTGGGTGCACGTGTCTGATGCAATGACGTAAATATGTTGCTAGGGAAATTTGGGAGGAGACTCCAAGTGCTCTAGATTATATTAATCATTGATGTACATGCTCTATGTCATGTAGCGTCACTTATGTGAGTAATCTAGTGGAATGAATTATGCTTTGTCTTCAGTTGTAGTGTCTTAAAACATGCGGCACATATTGTGCCGTATATATCATTTATTTCTCTATCTTTATGTTTCTACTGATCATTGACTGTAAGAGAACTGAGCTCTTTGTCATAAAAAACTCAAAGAGTCTATATATGTTGGATATACGTAAAAATTCTGTTAAATCTACATATTTAGTTTATATTTTTCGTTTATTTTATTTTAAAATTGCCTACACATATTTCTATAAAACTTTAAATATTTTAGTTTGTTTATTGTTGAGCGCAAAGCTGCACAATGGGCCATCCCTGCTACGTTCACCGTAGTGATTGACCCCAATTTCTAGCGTTATTAACCCTCAAGCTTACCGCAGATCCACTGTGAAGGGGGAGGGGGCAAATGTTTTAGTAACTAGCTTCACGTTTTCTCTTTCGAACATAAAAAAACACACACATACGTTAGGTTTTTTTTTCTTAGAACCTGTAAATTTATTCTTTGGATCCTTTATCCCAATTTAGTTGAAAATTTTGTGCACAAATAATGAACTAAAGATAAGAAAATAGAAGTTGTCATTGGAAATTACGTTAGTCCATTTCGATAATTTAGTTAATGTAGCCTTACACCTTCTTAAGACGTTTAGAAGATCAATTTCTCGCCTGTCCAGGGTATGTTAGGGAATCATCTCGTGTGTCAGCAGCACTCTTTCTAATTAAACTACAAAACTTTGTTCTTATATTAATTCACGTTGTATGTGAAGTTGTTTACAGATTTGGAGCTAACAGGACCAAAGTTGGCATGTAGACTCGGGGTGACCCAGGGGGTTTCATTACCCAAGGGAAGTACCGAGTTGAGTTAAACACACCTGAAAGATCATCCAGGCATGATGGAATCTAATAGTAAATTTTCAGGGTTACTGAACATGAATCTGGCATCGGAATTTATGTTTCTGGCCCTCATCTGGATCCTTGAAACACCATGCTTGAACCTATGTTCATACCCCCATACCGGCTCAAGTACTACAGGTAGGTGTCCTAACACATAAATGTCAAACACTGATCATCTACCTAGCTGAGGTGACTGCTAGATGACTGCTATTGATCATTTACTTGAATTAGCATAAAATGCCCGCGCTCTGCTTCTGGATTCAAAGGATTTCTCACGATTCACAGACATACCATTATCCACAGTTACTTCTATCGTTACTTCAAGGGGTGAAGGTCATCTGTACTCGATAATGAAAAATACAAAGATTATATTTGATAGTTTAAAAATATAACTGGCTTAAGTATATTGCGAGAATTTGTCTGTAGCAACAGAGTATGTAACATCCAAAGATTCACTTATATACATGCAAGTATTTGTAAGCACGCATATCTGTGTCATTAAAAAAAAACTTATTATACGTACTTCAGTCTTAAAATATTCTATTTATTAAAAAATACTACAATAAACACGTGTAACTTCATATGGAAAAGTTTAAGAATATACAAGTTGAAGTCAAATATACAAGAATTATCTAGAAATAAACAAACACCAGCAAGCACACATGCGTAAAAAATGCATTTCATCAACTTATTTCTATCTTTTCTGCACATTTTTACTGCAGACATGAGAAGCAAATTTAATTGCCTTTTTTATGGCCATAGTGGCTGCCACATACAGAATTGCCCAACATTCTTCCGTTCTGCCCAGGATACCCAACTTAGTTTTATGTCCTCTTTTGGCCTACGTTCTTCATTTTATGTGCTCGTATTTTTCTGTACACTAATATAGAATGTAATTCTTGGAAATTGTAAAAAAAAATAGTTAATTTTTATTGGTACATTAGAAGTTTGGAGGGGACGACATTCTGTCTTGTATCCTACACTTATTCTTATTGTTTCTATTGTTTTTTTATCATAGGTGCGTTTTGCATTCGTCGATGTGCTGAATACCCTAGACTTAACATAATATTTTACTTGACTTAATTATTTCCTACCAGCTGGATTGGCTTTCAGCTTGAAGGCTAATAACGCTAAAATTCAGCGTTCTATTCCTGCAATGAGTACAGCGAAGATAACCCATCATACTGGTTTGCGTTTAAAAGAACAAACAATGAAACATAATCATTTATTCTATTTAATAAACAATTTTCGTTTTCAAGTTTGGATTTACTTTAGATATCAACACTTCGAAAACGGGAATTCAGAATTGTCAGTTATGCTAATATTGATGAAGGTTAAAATTATATAGCCATCCATAGAAACAATAATTTTTTATACATCATGAGCTGGTCGTTAACCAGTGCTACTTTTTACAGCACAATAAAGCTGGGGTTTAAACCCTAGTTTATTTGAAACGTCGCAATTTTCAAAGATATAATTCACATTATTTGAACAAAAGGCCTCGTATGGCTTAATCTGCGAGTCACAGGTTCGAATCCTCATCTTCAAACATGCTCACCCTTTCAGCCGTGGGGAGGGGGTTATAATGTGACGGTCAATACCACTATTCATTGATAAAAGAGAAGCCCAAGAGTTGGCGGTGAGTGGTGTTGACTAGCTGCCTTCCTTCTAGTCTATCACTGGTAATTTAGGGACGGCTAGTGCAGATAGCCCTCAAATAGCCTTGTGTAATATTCAAACAAACCAAACCTTTAAAAACACAAAATTCAAATATATGTAGCGTAATAACAGTTCATGACAGTTCTTCAAAATTAAACCTATTTTTGCAGAAATACATTATATTTTTTTCAGAAAAGTTTAAGCAAAAAATTAAAATACCCAATAGACAATATATCATCGGATTTTATTTATTAGTTAGTGTAGACAAAAGAAAAGTGGTCATGTTAAAAGTAATACATTTTTGGAAGCTAACATCAAAGAAGAAACTCAAATATAAACTTTAGTTGAATTTCCTAAAGCTACGTGTTTTCATTTTAATACTCGAAGTCTCTAAATTATATCTATAAACTTCGGTTCACATATGTTTTAAGGATAACTTTTAAAAGCTTTATTGCTGACTTAGTTATCTAATGTGATGGTAAAAGTAAGTACGTTTCCCTGGATTCAGTTTTGTTTTTTGTTTGTTTGTTTGTTTGTTTTTGCAAAGTATACCAAAGGCATGATCAGATCCATGATCTTAATAGATTCTAAATATGCAAGCAAGTAATAGTCTATATCAACCCATCATGCAGTGAATTGCTTATTATAGACAACATAAATCGTTTTCTTCATCACACGATATCAAGGACTTCGTGTTTTTTTATGATGAATTATTTTTGATTAATCAGTCCGAGCTAAGTTTACTTTGATAAACTGTGTTGTAGTTAAGTTTAACGGAATTATTAAGTATTTCTAACATAACTTGTAGCTCTGTATACTAAACAGACACTGTCTGCTAGATAATTCCGTATAGTAGTTTGTACTTTTAGGAAGTAGATGAAATAGTTCAATATATTTAACTAATAACTCCAACAATACTGCAACTACCATAAGTTTCCTACTGTTGTTGAATTGAATTGTTTGAAAGTTTTATATGACAAAGCTGTATAGGCTACTTGGGACAGTTTTTTAAGCCACAATAAAACGAATTTACTTAAAAGTAAATGGTATGTTGCAAATGACATTGTCTGATGTTAAAGTGATGACAAAAGTTAAAAAGATAAAACCTGTATAAAGGTCGTTGAGTCTAATGGTGAGAAATGGTGAATTTAAGTGACTCACACTGTTCTCACATTGGTGAGAGAAAATGGGAAGTCAAAAGACTATGGTCATAGTGGAATCCTGTCAGGATAACTTTCTCCTTCCGATTACTGCACAAACTTGGTTATGGGTTTGATGTGGGAAATCTTGCTGTGTTGTTGCCCATCCCAAATTTTCTACGAATGGAATGAAGTCTGGCCCTGATGGCAGACTTAAAATATATTTTTGAATAGGAAAAGGTTCGGTGTTACCAGTAGCAGCTGATTTTGTTGGTGTCAATAATCTCATCTCCTCAGATACTGACATAGTCTGTAATAGAAAAAATAATAGGTATTTATGACAAGGAAAACTGGGTTAGTCATATGTGAATATTTGAGATAACGGGATGAGAACAGACATTAAACAATTTTAAGGTCTACAAACAGCTAACCAAGTCAGTATAGGTGGTACATTTAGAAGAAAAGGTTTTCAGTAATGCACTGATCTTAATGCTGAAAAGTGTGACACACAAGACACAATCCCAAAGTAATCTGAGCTATTGTGTGAATAAAGCTGATCCTACGTGGAACTGGAAAGACCTGTTTTCCAAAAGTCTGTGTATAAAAATAGGGAAATGGGGATGGAGATCACGTAAAATATTGAATATCAATGTAATGCCAGAAGCCTTCTGAAAATAAAAATATTGATAGAAGATGTTCCCTCGTGAGAAGAACTTTCATGACTGACGATTCAAATTGAAACAGGTGAAACGGAGGGTGTTGAATTTGACAAACCCATAAGAGGAGCATTAGCCATCTTCTACAAAACTGTAAAGAGGCAGCTGTACAAAGAAGTGGATCTATAAAATTAGAAGGAATCTTTCTCATGTTTAGGAAAGGTACTGGCGATAGCGTAATGCCATAAATCAAGAAACATCTCTTCGTGCCAAACCTGACTAAAAAAGAACCAGAGGTTAGCTGAGAAAGGCTGGAGAAATTTGGTGTACCGCCCCATAATGTATATAATCTAGTCTGAGAGAGTTCCACGAGAGTAAGTGGTCTTTTTTAATTTAAAAAAAAAGACATTCAGGCCAAAATGAAAAAGTATTCTTTCAGCCCTTGTTTTTATGGTCAAGAAGTTATGGAAATCGTTGGAGGTGTTAGAGTGGTTGGAAGAAACACTCACAATGGTGTTAGTAATTTCTTGTAAATCAGCCACTTTTTTGGTCTTTCTCTGTAAGATTTATAATAAAAGGACGATATACTTTTCATTCACTCTCCAAATCTTGCCACAGGCGACTTTGGAGTTAGTTTTGGAAGAAATGATGGAAGATAAAATGACTCAAGATTCTCTTTAACTTTGATGTCTGATCTGCTAGGCCTGGACTCGGGTGAAAGGAGCTGTGGAAAATACCCCAAAATATTTTCTGAACCCTCCTTGCTTACTGCCTATCAATGGTCCATTATGTATGAAAATACAATGGAAAATATTTCAAGTACTTAGGAATAGCAAGCACAGCTGCAGAGACAATGTGATGTTTCATTGTCTCTACACAGTAATTAACAGACGGTAGTTTAATGAGGGCAGTATCAACCTCTAAGAGAGCGTTAAAGGAGTTCCAATCTGCCCTCTCCAGTCTCTACCACATCTCACGAGTCAGACTACAATTACTTCAGCCAAGTTCTCCCAGTATGCTGAGTAATTAATATCTGCCATTTGTATCACTATCCAATCTTCTAAGAAGCTGAGAGAAAGAGAAGAGACAAGGTGAGCAAACTGAAGAATCAATGATTGCAAATGTCTCATTCAGGGCATAGAAATAGGTGCATACTCTGGTACTGAAAAGAGAGAGACTATGATCTGAGAGCAAATACTTTTCACTTTGACCCCTCCCATCAGTATAGGCTCGGCATGGCCAGGTGGTTAGGGCGCTCGACTCACAATCTGAGGGTCGCGGGTTCGAATCTCCGTCACACCAAACATGCTTCCTTTCAGTCGTGGGGGCGTTATAATGTGACGGTCAATCACACTATTCGTTGGTAAAAGAGTAGCCCAAGAGTTGGCGGTGGGTGGTGATGACTAGCTGCCTTCCCTCTAGTCTTACACTACTAAATTAAGGACGGCTAGCGCAGATAGCTCTCGTGTAGCTTTGCCCGAAATTCAAAACAATCAAACAGACCACATCAGTATTTAAACCACCCCAAAGTGGACTATGCTCATGGAAGTCTCCAAGGATAAAGGAGGATGACAACTGCATAATGAGATACTAGTAATCAATGTATACTTGATTGTTTGTCTTGATGACAGGTAGAAAGCACGGTATTATGGCACAACCAATGTATATACGGATAGCAATGACATTTAGAGGTATAGATAGAGATAATCATATTTATGGAGGTAGTATGCTGATCAACCAGCTACGTTGTTTAAAACGTTATCATTTCTACCTTTTTTACCCCCAATCCATTTTGGGAACGTCATACAATAATATAAGAGTTGGAACCAATGCATTTGGCACAGTGTGGCCCTAGCTGACATGTGTTGCTAACATGTTCTTTACCATACGCTAAAACAAACATAGTAAAATGTATCAGAGTGTCCAAAATACTGACAATATAAACATCTGAGAAGGTTTGAAATGTAAAATGGACCTTGCATCTCAAATAACCTGCCTTAGTATCAGCAGGTGGGCTTAGTTATGTAAGTATTAAAATGATAATCTTTTCTGCTGAGATGTTCCATTTTAATTAGAGGAGATTAACCTAACAACTGAAACTCCTTGACTGAAGAGTTCAGCAAGAACCTTTGACTCAGTGATGTTAAGAAGATTCCTCTCAATAATAACTCTTTTTAGGAAACTTAAACTATTGTAGAAGCTTATCTCAATAGGTATCCCCTCCCTGTCTATTAACTTCTAAAAGAGTTCACTGGTGTTCACTGTCCTAAAGTATTGATGTTTCCACCAGCAAATACACAGATCTTAGTTACTTTACTGACTTTAGAACCCATCTATCTTTTGTATGAAAGAGGAAGAAATTCTTTCAAAAAAGTTTGGATAATCAATGTACAATTAGATACTGAAGCATAGCAAATTGAAGACATGGAGATGTATAAACAAAGTCGTCTTTATATGACCATTTCCCTTTAACATTCAAAGTAAAATAAAACATTCAGTGCCAAGGATCACACCCACCATATATTTCTAGAAAAAGACGTGCTAAACTATCAACTGGTTGAGTTTGGTTTGGTTTGTTATAGGTTTCGCGCAAAGCTACACGAGAGCTATCTGCGCTAGCGGTCCCTAATTTAGGAGTTTAAGACTAGAGGGAAGGCAGCTAGTCATCACCACCCACTGCCAACTCTTGAGCTACTCTTTTACCAATGAATAGTGGGATTGACCGTCACATTATAACGCTCTCGCGGCTGAAAGGGCGAGCATGTTTGGTGTGACGGGGATTCGAACCCGCGACCCTCAGATTGCGAGTCGAGCGCCCTAACCACCTGGTCATGCCGGGCCACTGGTTGAGAACAGAACCAAACCTAAAGGACACAGCAGTCACTGACATCGTCCAATACTGGCACTCAATTGACTCCAGATACAATTAACCAGTCAAATGAACCAGAGAAAGCTACTCAGTGGTCTTCCAACTACGGAAATTCAAGGCCAAAGAAGTGTTATGCAGTGATCCACAATCACCAGAGTTCTATCTTCCTCCCAAGTCACCAAGCACACAGACATTTGGGTGGACATTTAGATCCTAGAGAAGGTAAAAATGTGCAGATAGAACCTTTTCTTGGAGGTCCCCTCACCATAAACAGGAATCCACGTTGAGGGGGAGTTAGAATTGTTAGGCTTTGAATCACATCACCGTAAGACATGATATCTTATTTAAACATTAAAATAATTCTAAGAAACGACTATAACAAAGTTATAAGTTGGGGATTTCACAATGGAATGATTATGAATTCATCACGAAACAAATATGTAAGTGCTAAGTATATCGTCCGTGTTGCCACAGCTCGCATCTGCAGTTATCTCTCCCCCTCTCTCTCTGTGCATAATTATCAGAGTTTGTCTCCAGAAAAAAAAAACTCTCAAGAAGAAGTAATTCAGCTTAGTACTAACCTGACGGATTGCTTTGAAGAAGTCAAAGCTAAAAGCAAGCTGTTCTAGCCAAATAGCAGATGCAAATTGTAACAGGTTAATTCATCAGATTCCGAGTGTCAGTATTTTTAATTATAACCCCATTGTCTTCTTCGGGACAGGAGTTAACAGAATTCTAAATATTTATGATATGGCTTTTAAAGTGTTAACAGTGTTCTGCAGAAGAAAAAAGTGCATGTTATCTAAATCTAAAGATTTACGTTTTTGTTGTCTAACACGTGACTGAAGTAAGGAGAATATAAAGATTGGTAGTTAGGATACACCACTTAAATCTCTTTATAATGCATGAAAATATACTGGTATATGTATATGCTTAAGTAATGAAATATTAAACAGACGTGCACATTCGTTGTGTGTTTTATTTAGTTTTGTCACATACATTTGTACAACATACAGTTATTTATTTTACAATACCAACATTTTAGACACGAAAAAGATATCAGAAGTAAAAGTATCTTCGAGTAAGATTAAAAACAAAACCAGAACGACGTATACGTTTCTTAATGTATCCTACTTTTATAAAAAAAAATAAATACATTTTATTTTAAAGTAAAATGGCTAATTAAACAAAATTAACGATTTTTTTTGCTTTGTTTCTATTTTGTGGTTAAGCATACAGCTATACAATGGGTTATCTGTACTTTGCCCACCGCTGGTATCTAAACCCAAGTCTTAGCGTTACAAGCTCTCTCCAATTTACCGTTGAACCATTCTGGGGCTATAAACGAATATATCAAACGAGTTACTAAATGCGTTTTTTAAATAATAATGTAGATTTTATTGTAGCCTACTGTTTCGCATTTGCATCACAATTTTAAGATACTAGAAGTTTCCAAGGATCATATTACTAACTTGAAATTCCTCGAATACTTTAGCGTTTATATAACATTTATAGTGTATGAACTGTCCGGTTATTTTCTGATGTGCTACAAATCCATCAACTGGTTACATAATGATATGCGATATGGTATATTTTCATTAATGTTATAGAACCTCTGTATTTTAAAATTACCATTAATGATGTCAGCTGTTTAGGGGCACATTTCTAGTAAATGTCTTAAAGATAAGGTGTAGTAAGAACGTCATCCGTCGTCATCTCATTCGTAAAACAAGATACTATTCCTAACAATGTATGTTATATATAGAGTTCATAAATAATGAACATTTGAACATTTTTTTTAATGTAAGTAATAAATATAAACGTTGTATTCAATTATTCTGTCATTGTGATAATCAGATAGATAAAGTTTAAATTTTAACTTTAGAACCGTGATTCAATATGTACTGTACGTTAAGACTTATGACACTATCCTTATAATCTTCTTCTGTAGCTTTTCCCGTATCTTATCCCGTATCTTATCTGTAGCTTATCCCGGGGTCGCTATTTTTGACAGCACGTTTCCACTCTCCTCGGTCTTCGTATTCGTCCCCAACCAGACCTTTCTCTCTAATATCTCCATCCACGCAATCCTTCCATCTTCTCCTTGGTCTTCCTCTCTTCCTTCTCCCCTCCACTTCCATATCCAAAACCCTCTTGCCTATATAACCATCTTCCCTCCTCATCACGTGCCCATACCACTGCAATCTTCTCTCCTGAACTTTCTTAGTACGTCCAGTGCTCTAGCCACCAGTTATCG